GCAATCAGTTTAGCTCTTCAGGTGCCATTTGTGGGCTTCATAGTTGGCTTTATCTGTAAGTCCGCACTAGCAAATGTCTTAATCCCACAGGGCGGGAGGGGGAAAGCTCCAGATTCCGTTCTACCCAAATAAGCTTGCGAAGCAGAGCTAATTAAATCTTTCTGTCTGACGATCAACTGAGTCGAAAATTGGCAGGTTGGACTCAGCTCTATGTTATATTGATTGGGGAAATCAACGACTGCAACCTGTGGAGTTATTTATGTCTTAGCATTTGTTTCATGGTATGCGATAACCAATGTGTCATTAAAGGATTGACGTTATACTACACTTGAATTTAACTCTTCTGCCATTTATTTTTATTTTATTTTAATTTATTTTATTTTAACAAGAAGGTATTTACCCGTATGGGTACCAACGGGGATTCCCACACTTAGCTATCTGTTTCTAGCTAGTCCCATTGAAGATGAGCTTGTTGAGCTTGGCTGCACCAATTCAGCAATGTTTTGAAATCACCGGCATGAGAAAAACTAGTTCACTTGCGCAATCGTAGACGTCGCTTATACGGCCTCCTCGACTGAGACAATAATTTAATGATGGAATTTGACTTGTACGCCAAACAATTTCATGGAACGCTCTCTTACAGAACTGAAGGCAATGTTAAAAAAAAGAATAAACAGAGTTGAATGCGATGGAAATGTTTGTGATGACCGACAAAGAGCACTGCACGGCTGTTTCGTCCTGTTTGGGACTAGTAAGCGGGGTGCATTTCTTGCGCCCCTGTGGGGTAATACAAGCTTAATAGTTCGAATCACTGTTGTAGTAAAAGCCTCGGAACCGATGTACTGTCCGAGACAGGACTTTTTAGCTTTTTACATTAGCACATGTAGATGCAAAGATCCCACCTGGGAAGTCAAATATTCTGAGACATTTGATCAATGAATAACTCACCAAATTCATTCGAAAGGGGCTTGACAGTGTGGGAGTTGAAATTGTATACCGTTTTATCGGTATTGCTGACATCCCCTCCCAACCCCGGAAGTATGCAGTCTGATTCTAGAAATCCCTAGTCTATATCTCCTTTTCTATTTGATTCAGATAAACTGGTCAATTAATAACTACAGAACTTACCTGAAGTTTGTTTGGTAAATTGAATTCAGCCCTGAATGATGCTAAGATGTTGACTCCGGCATTTTAGAATGTGACTATTTTAGGATCTCAGAGATCCTGATACATCGGCATAGATAAAATACCGCTCAAATCAGTCCGAGAGACAAAATCACCCAGCTTTGTCTGTGCAGGTTCACTGATACATTGTCTATCCTAATCAGGAACAAAGATCCGCATATCTGCACCATTTCTGACAAATTAGTCATACCATTTATCATCATGCCATGGTATAAACAATCGAGTTATGCGGGAATCAATATCAGATTTCATTCATGTTTCACGTTTACACATACGTCACAGAGCTATCTATTCGACCTGCATGTGATGCTTCCGGCTAAATGGAGATCATAAAACATTCGCCTGTGTAGCACTGGTCAGTATGATCTCAAGGAGGATCACAGGAATGTCAGTGATATTGTGGACCATTCGATGACTGTTTCCTAATCAGGCAAGTTAGGTCTTGTTTTCCAAAGATCTCCGAAATCCATTTCATTCAAATAAATAAAACTGATAGCGTTTCAGGTTTGCTGGTTTTTCAATACAGAGCTTCAAACTCTTTGTGGTCTCTGCCGTAGTTAATCCCGTGTGTCCGCAACCACTCCATCTCGCAAGCTAGTTTGTCCGACCCCGTCTGACTGGGCTGGTACTCATAGTTGGTATTCGCATATTGTTACCCCTGTGCTGATGTTCCGTGCTCGCTTATTCAAGATGATAAATGTGATAAACTGGATGAACAAAGACCTCGATCTTCGTATTCACAATGTCCCTATCGCCAGAGGAGAAAACACTATTCGGTGCGATAATCTCCTGGGTATCACCTGATCAAATAAAGTCACTGCGGTTTGAACAAAGTTTTACAAGTTGTCTGTCAAATTACGTTTCCCACCTAAACTTTTCTCTACTGTTCGCCTAATTGATACACTTTTTGTTTCCGCATATATTTCATCCAACACCGAGTCGATGGTCCTCCAGTGTACTCTGTTTTAGTCTACTTAGGCACATACACACACACACACAAACAAGAACACTCAACCTGACCTGCAGATCCCTCAAACAACAGCATGAATGCATTAACATTCCATGTTAGCAACTTGTCAAAATCAGATCGACCCACACTATCATCTATCGGGAATTTCCTCTCGAGGTGTCCTCTCGATATACCGCGCCCATCAACTGTGGGCTCAGTAAAGGCATATTCAGCGTTCGTACGCGATCGCACGGTACAAACTTTTGCTTCGGCTCACACAAACGCCTGATGTTCTTCGATCTGGTTTGTGAGTGAATAGCATCTGGACTGAATAGCATCGGACTACTTTGTTTCAAACACATTGCTTGTCATTACAATTTTCACATCTACTTTTCCCCTGTCCGAAATGATTATGCCGCGGCGGGATATTCGTTCATAATTTGGGGTTGGATGATGCATTTGTTTGACATGGCACTTGTATTTCATGTGCACTTTTTATGTCCACAATGTACTTAATTGTATGTGAGTAATGAAGGATTTGATTCCATTTCAAAGGAGAACTTCGATGGAAGCACTTCTGAAGTCCAAAAGATAGTTTGAAACTCGTTGTATTCTGATAGGGCTGATCCTAATAACCTGCCCTGTTATCAACAAAACTCCCTTGGCGATAAATTTTAGTGGCATTCAACGACTATTTTCTCTGGCGAACGGAGGGGGGAGGCAGCCGGGGAGACAAACAAACCCATTTTCTTGGCCTATTTCAATCGCCGAATAAAATTGAAACGACATTTTTCCCAGGTTTTTGTTTTCTCGTCTATCTTCAGACAAGTCTACTGTAACAGCGCTTATCTGGCTCAGCCAGCCAGGTAAATTTACTGTTCATTATTTGATATTATTTAATTGCACATACATGCATGTTATTTGTCACTTATTCAATTTATGAGAAATTTTCTGGTGTTTACAACGGTCATTGTGTTTGCCTTGCAAGTTGATGCCCGTAAACGGCTAGATGATGATACAAAACGACAATAGGAGGGGATGGGAGGATAAATATTCCCCAATGGAAGCGGATATCTTCAGTACAACCTGAACGGTGATTGGATGACATAAAACGGTACCTGGTCGCGCATGGATTGTGGCCACGGAAGTCCGGATCACCACAACTCTCTTCCCTCAAGAGTGCCTCGTCAATCTGGCTCGCCTGACGGCTAGACCTGCGGACTGCAATCGTTTACTCCGTCTGTTCCTGGCGATGTCCTTGTGTTTCGATTGGTTGTGTCTACGCATCTGACTGATGCGGATCCGTCGGTTGTGCTGATGAGGTATGCAACTGACTGTCGCCCTCGTTTGTCTCTTGATGCCCCTGGTCCGTGGATCGTTTGAAGTGGGTTTGGTCCTCGTGTCGCCTGTGCACAGTAGCATCATTCAAGTCGGTAATTTCCACCATGGCTTGACCCCGTTGTCACGTGACTATACCAGACGCGGGTCGCAAATCATTGCCACGAAAGTATACGACGTCACTGGAGTCGAGGCCCTGTAGGGAGGATCGCAAGCGTCTGGATTTAGAAAGCATTGCCGGGCTCTCCTTGGTGGTTGTATGTGTTCCGTTTCGGTATTGGAGTAGGAAGTTATCCACCAACGTTTCCAACTCATGTGGCGTTTTAGGATTGGCAGACACAATTGCACTCTTGACAGTTTTGACTAGATTCTCTGCCACTCCGTTCGAACAGGGGTGACGAGGCGCAGTTCGAAGATGTCGGCAACCGATGCTGTCTATCCAGAGCCTCATTTCGGTCGCACAGAACTGAGATCCATAGTCCGTC